CTCGAGTCCCTCGCCTCGGTCCCAAGGGCTCGAGTCCCTCGCCTCGGCCCCAAGGGCTCGAGTCCCTCGCCTCGGTCCCAAGGGCTCGAGTCCCTCGCCTCGGTCCGAAGGACTAGAGTCCCTCGCCTCGGTCCCAAGGGCTCGAGTCCCTCGCCTCGGTCCCAAGGGCTCGAGTCCCTCGCCTCGGTCCGAAGGGCTAGAGTCCCTCGCCTCGGTCCCAAGGGCTCGAGTCCCTCGCCTCGGTCCCAAGGGCTCGAGTCCCTCGCCTCGGTCCGAAGGGCTCGAGTCCCTCGCCTCGGTCCCAAGGGCTCGAGTCCCTCGCCTCGGTCCCAAGGGCTCGAGTCCCTCGCCTCGGTCCCAAGGGCTCGAGTTTCGGTCAATCTGAGCGCCGACTCGAGTTTATAACGACCCAACAACGGCCCAAACAGCTGTTCCACATGTGGAATGTTAGAGGACATTAAACTCTTGAATTAAAACGATTAAAACTCTGGAGTAGAAATGGACGGTTCCTTGTTTTATCAGTTTTTCTGCAGCTGCTTCATTAAACCACACAGAGCTCTTTGTTCAGTACGGAGCAGCGAACCCGTTCCCAGAACAGACGGTAAAGTTTCACACAACATCTTTTCTTCTGGGCTACAAACACGAGATAAACGTAATTAACTGGAGACGGTTTCAAGGTTACAATCGTGAGAAACATTGCAGCTTCCTGAAACCATATAAGGAATGATCCGTGAGACAGAGGAGGAGCCGGTGTGTTTTAGTCCGTACAGGTGCTGCCCTCTCCTGACGAAGAGGCGTAGTGTCAAGAGACCTGGTCCAAGTCTGAGCACCCAGAAGAACAGGAGAAACTTTCCAAGGTTTCACCCAAGGGCGTCAGAAGAATCCGTAATGTGGGGGGGACTTGTCCCCTTCACATATAATGGTTGCGACGCCTATGGTTTGACCAATCAGACAATTTCACATTTTTCACATGTCTTTGTGTAAAGCTAAGCTAAGCTAAGCTAGCCGCTCTTTCTGGGAAGTTACTCGTTTATGAGCAGAATGTTTTCTGAACAGAAAGATCCTTAAATATATGAACTGAAATTTCTCCAATGTCAAATAAATGTACTTAAATATAGATAGAATTTCCTTGTTTTTTGTTTTCCTCTTAGAATAAACAAACACAAGAAACACCCGCCTGCCTCGGAACCTTCAGGTCCAACAATCTGAAGATTCTGTAAAATATATCTGAGATCTCAAACTTCTGCTTGTTAGCACCAATTAAAAAAAACACAAGAAAGTTTCTTCAAACTACAGAGCAGATTCAGACAAACGCTTCAGACTGAAGAACAAACCGAGGCGCCTCGCTGAGGAGGAAACACTGACCTGCCTTCTTGGTTCTTGGACCTTTGCTGAGGGTGGTGACTCTGCTGGAGCTCTGACTGAGGGTGGTGTCCTCCACCTGTCTGGTTCTCTGAGGACAGAAAGAAGTGAAGTCAGAGACGCCACGGTGAGGCACGTGACGAGCTGCAGCTCATCCTCCAGCAGGTGGACTTCTGTTTAATAAAACTTGTTAAACCTGCAGAAACCGTGTCGCCATGGTAACGTTTGATTTATTGAATAGCGCTGCAGGACTCCATGGTACCACCTGATGTTTGTTTATTTGTTGTCGTGTTGTTCTTTACCTCGATGACGTTGTGGCAGGACCTGCAGTAGAAGCTACCCTCATTGGAGATGCCCCAGTTGACACGGGCACACTGAGCGCAGGGCTCCCGGTACCCTGCCTGATCAAAAACACGCAGCAGGTCAGGAGAGGGACGTAAACACCAAAACACGTTTAATTCAATAAGTTCATTTTATGTTGATGAGTCAAACAGAGCTGCAGCAACAAATAAAACACTTATCCTTAAGAATGGTTATTTATGGAAAACTGAGATTATATTGATCATCAGAAACATTTGTATAAAACTCACATACAGTTTAACATTATTAAGATTTACCAGCGTTACACTGATGCACTTTATTTAAACCAAAAAACTAACTGAATATAAAAAGCACATATCCGTCTCCAAATGTTTATGGACAAAGTCTGATAGTTTATCGTAATTTGTGTAATATTATTTAATAAATGTCTGTTGCTCTTTGAAAGATTGGAGTAAAATATGAATCGAATGGTTTAACAAAGCAAGACAATCATAAAAATAGTTTACACTAATCAACATTTTTACAGAAAAATATTAAGAAAATATAAAAAAAAACAAGATGATGGTAAAATGTTTACATATATATACACATATATATATATACACATATATATATATATGTGTGTGTATATATATATATATACACATATATATATATATATATATATATATATATATATATATATATATATCAACATCAGGCTGAAAGAAAAACTGTTTAAATAAAAAGAAAACTATAAATAATTATATCACTGCTATTACTAAGAGCATGATAATTTACTCAATTTTAAAAAACATCTAAAAACAGAAAATAGCAATAAATAATTAGCAGCACTTTCAATGGAAACTACAAACTGTCGCTGACGATAATAAAACCAAATTATTAAAAAAAACTGTTTAAAAAAATCTTCAGATTAAGATTATTGGTTAGTAAACTTATGCCGATTATTCAATACGCCTTTGAATATTGTGTTACGATTGTTAAAATTATTTCGTAAAGGTTGGAAGTTTTAATATTTATGAATAAAGATAAAAGACATAAAGATAACGGAGTTTGGTGTGAACCAGCTAGCTAACATCAACGTTCTTCTGTGAATTTTACGCTTTAATTTAATAAAAACAAACAGAAAGTTCCATCAGGATTTACCGTATCTTCTTCATCCATGGTGAATTAAAAACTTCGGTCAAGGGGAAAGTTTGAATATTTATCAGGTTTTGTTTTTTCCCGAAGGTTTGTAGATTTTTCGCTTTCGCCGAGATGCAGAACCGGAAGTGAGGCGTTTCTCTTCTTCGTTGATTTCCTGCGGACTGAGCGCGCTGCTGCCGCCAACAGGCCGCAACGAGAACTACAACCTTCTTTTAAAACAACTTTAAACTTTAAAAACAAGGGAACATCCGGGTAGTTTTTCAGATAGTTTTAGTTTTACAGAATTAAATCGACCTTCTACAGGAAGGTTACCTGAAGTGTTAGCACCTGTAGTTTCCCTGAATGCAATGCACCCTAAAACACTGCCTGTATGTGTAGATTGTTTGTTGTTGTTGTTGTTGTTTGTTTCCAGACTGGGGTCTGTTCTCATGTTTGTTCTGCTCCGGTGTTTCACAGAATCTGGTCACCGGTTTAAAAGAGGATTTGGATGAGCTCAGGGATTAAAAATAGACCCGCCAGATGTTTCCGTTATTCTCTTACATTACGTCATGGATCGAGCCGCTCCTTCATTGAACTTTGTTTGTTTGTTGTTAAACTGCGTTTGTTTCTACGGCTGGTAAACAAAAAATACAAATCACGACCACTTCTCAGATTTTTTCTTTCGCGAGCACCGCATTCCGCTCACGAGACCGTCGAGCTCGAGACAACACGCACAAACAGGAAGTGCAGCTTTTCAAAATAAAAGCAAAGCAGTGCCTACTGTCATGTTGGGTCCGAACATTTTGCAGTTAAGGTGATTAATCTTTATCTGGTTGTTTTATAAAGCTCTAAAATATCTGATAGCTTAATCTAGACTGAATTACGTTAAACAAAACAAACAACAACTAAAGAACAAATCATAATAAAAATGAATAAAGTGAAGGAAGAAATATTAAACCACACATAAATAAATGTCATGTGGCTCCTGATGGGATAAAATAATAGAATAAGCAAGAAAAGTATTTTATTTTGATTATGTTAATTTGCTTCAGAACATTTTATTATTATTATTATTATTATTATTACCACCATTTTAGCATTTATGTTAATTTTTATTAGACAAATTCAATTTCTAAACTAGTTTAAACAACCAAATGGTTTAAATTAATTAGTTGGACATTAAAAATTAATTTTACTTTAATACCGTCTTCATCTTCTACCTCTCATCTGTAGTCGGGTCGTGGAGGATCAGGTCCAGGATGGAACCCCAGACCTCCACTCTTCAGCTCATCCTGGGGGACTTCAAGGTGTTTCCAGACCAGAGATGATCCATGGTCCCTGCAGAGTCCCCGGCCACAACGACTCCTGGTGCCATAAACTAGTTTTACAGATGTGGAATGTCAATATTGTATAATTTTTAAAATCACTTTATTTGGTTTAAATTATTGCAGTAATCTAGATTAAACAGTTCAATCTGCTTGCATTTATTACGGTATCTCTATTGTCTGTTATTTTCATTACAGTAGTTTGTAAAATTCTTCAGCCACTACGATTTAAAAACAAATATTTTACCTCAAACAGCCAGACGTTGTAATTGTCAGATACACTTTAAACCTTTTATAATCCAGTTTTTATACCTTGGTCATTTAATTGGTGACTTTCAATGCTTTTACTGTGAAGGCCGTCGGGCCTACTTCCGGCCTGCCGCCTCGGTTCTCGCCAGCTTTCCTCGCCGCTCTCGGTCTTCCTGGTTCGGGAGCTGGAGCTGAACTTTCTGCGTGCTTTTTGAAAACAATGACTTCGGTTCTCGGATCACGGAGTTTTTTCCAGAAAATGCGCCTGAAGTCAGGAGTTTGAGTCTGACCCGGTGGTTCCGGTGGTTCTGGTGGTTCCGCTCGGGTCAGTCCCAACATGGGTCCGCAGCTCGTCCTTTTCTCGGTTTTCACCGTTTTAACGGAGGCGGCCGTGTCTCCGCCCGCGGACACCCGGCAGCACGAGTTCGGTACGTCCGAACTGGTTTTGTCTCAAAGTTCATTAAAGTCCGATGGTTCGGTTCGGTTCGGTTCGTTCAGGAGAAAAGTTCGTTTTCTTGTAGTTTATGGAACCCTGCTGCTGCCAGAAAACACAAATCTGAACCTTTAAGTTAAAATAATCCGTAAATAATTAGTGTAAAGAAGTGAAACTGTGACAGTGAATCACGTGAGTTTATGTAAATAACTTAATCAAATGTTATTAGATCATGCCAGTTTTAAACTTTAGATAACTTACGAAAATAAACTGTTTTTGGAAAATACACTATTTTTGCCATGTATGGAAGTCCATTCATGCCAAACAGTTTTAAGCTTTATTTAAATAACACGAAAATAAAATGTTTTTGGAAAATAAAATATTTTTGCAAAGTATGGAAGTCTATTCATGCCAAACAGTTTTAAATGTAGAAGTTCGTAAAATTGTTTTCATTCACTGAATAAAAGTCTTTAAAGTCCAATTTTAGACATTAATGACAGAATTTTATCTTGTTATAAAAGTAAATTTAGCACAAAAAAATAGCTATTGTGTTATTTATAATCTTTAAGGTGAAACTTTGACTAAAAACATTTAAATTGCGCTTGTTATTTATTATCATTATTACACGATGATACATTTGAAACTCTTGTTACACTTTGTTTATTAAACCTTTTTAGAAAAAGAACAATTTATATTTATAACCAACTAAATGCTCAAAAACACAAAACTTTGTAAATATTTGTTTTTAACTAAAGTTAATGCACTTGTTGGTCATCAGTTATTTTATTAATGATTGTTTTGTTTTTCTTTTTCAGGTTTTATATGTTTCTTTTAAAATGTTTGAAAACGTACGAGTCAATTAAAAAACATTTAATTTAAAAACCGAACGACGCTCAAACAGTTTTGTCAAAGTTTATTTTGTATAAAAACCTTTAAACCGAAGCTGCGGGGTTACAGTCGGCGTGGGAGCAGCCTTCGGCTCCTGTTTCGGTTGGACTGAAGGACTCCAGCTGTTTTTTGTCCCCCGCAGACCGTCTCCGCTCCATGTTGGACGACTTTGACGTCCTTCCTTTCTCCGGCCTCCAGACTCACTCGGTCCGCCGCCGGGACGTCCAGAGCCACGTGGAGAAGCTGCTGAGCTTCACGGCGCTGCAGAGGTCAGCCTCGACTCTTGTTGCTCTGTTCAAACCGTAGCGCGCTCCTTCACCTCGCCGTGTTCCTGAGCGCAGAACGTTCCGGCTCTACCTGAGGACCAACGCCGAGATCTTCACCGAGGACTTCAGAGCCGTCGTGGAGGACGAGGACGGCCGGGAGCGGACCTTCCCCGTCAACAGACACAGTTTCTTCACCGGGCACGTCGTCGGTAACGTAGCTGAGCTCACCCTCGACCGCAGCTTCCACTTCCTAAACTTTTCAAAATAAAGTACGTTGCTGTTTTATTTTCTTTTGGGGACAGAAAAGCCCCGTGAGGACGCAACGTGGCAACGTGGTGTGTTCTGCTGTCCAAACAGTAAAAAAAGACGAAGACACGACAGTTTGTGTTTGACCAACTCTGCGGTTCTGATCCGAATTATTTAAATAAAAGTCGATCTAATCTGTGAATAAAATAATAAACAGGAATAAACTGGTTTAACTTGAGGTGAACAGCTGATCGTTTCACATTTACAAATTCATGAATATTGTTTGATGAATTAAATCACTCTTTCTTCTACTGCCTTTTATTTGTTGTTTATTTACGTTGTTGTTTTTCCTCCTTTGTAAAATAAAATTAGATTTTTGAATCAATCCCTTTTATTTTGGTAAATCTCCCTGAAGCCTGATCACAGAACCTGAAGCTGGTTTTAGTTTTTGGTGAAGTTTAAACTTCCTCCGGACGTCCAGCACCGAGGAGGAGATGTTGTTGTTTATTTGTAAACAAACGCCAGAAGACGACTTTTCATTTGTCAACCAGGGATTGATCAAAATGTTTGTTCAAAACAAGTTCATCTGGAGGCGTCACTTTACTTTTGTAGACGTGTTTCGTTTGTGATCCGTTCATCACATCCATACTGGGTCAGAAGGTTCTGGACTCCAGCTGGTCCCGACCCTCTCGTCTCGTGCTCGGGTCCTCGTGAAGCTTCAGAGGACGTTAAAACGTCTCGAGGCTTCGAAGGGGAAGTGGAAGAGATGAAAAGGAGCCGATTTAAACTTCAGCTTGTTTTTTTATTTTCAGGGGAGGAAAACTCTCGAGTTCAGGCTCACGTAGACGACAACGAGTTCTCCGCTCGCATCCTGACCGAGGAGGCGGAGTACAACGTCGAGGTAAAGGTTCTGGAAACACAAACCCTCCAGAGTGTCCTCATGGGTCCTAAACGTTTGTCCAACGTTGACGTGGCGGCGTTAACCGTCTCTGTGGCCCTCTCAGCCTCTGTGGAGGTTCACGGCGGCGCCCCCTGATGGTCGACTCCTGATCTACCGCTCAGAGGACATCAGGAACGTCAGCCGGCTGCAGCGACCCTCCGTCTGCGGCTACGTGGCCCCCGAGTCCTCCCACCTCCTCCCGTCCAGCGTCAGAGCCGCCATGTTGGATCTTCACGATGAAGAAGGTTTGTGGACGTTGGAACGGACTCAGAGAAACATTAAAGGAAGGTTTCTGTTTGAGGATATTCCCTCCAGCTTTTATTAACGTTCTACTTTAGTCCATGTCAGACTGAAGAACACACACTTCCTGCCGTCAAACGGATCTGCTAAACGTTCAGAGCGAACTGCCTCGTTTAGTTTTAAAACTAAAGACGTAAAAAACCTTTCTGCCGCAACAAACTGAGTGGAGTTTCCAAAATGTCTGGAAATGTTGGGAGGAGTTCTGTCTCCTCAGGCTAATCGCAGAGCAGCACATCTGTGTGCTCGAGACATTCCTGAGACGAGACATTCCTGAGACGAGACATTCCTGAGACGATCTCTGGACAGTCTCAAGATGATCTCTGGACATTCCTGAGACGATCTCTGGACATTCCTGAGACGATCTCTGGACTGTCTCGAGACGATCTCTGGACAGTCTCGAGACGATCTCTGGACAGTCTCGAGACGATCTCTGGAAAGTCTCGAGACGATCTCCGGAAAGTCTCAAGACGATCGCTGGACTGTCTCGAGACGATCTCTCGATATTCTCTAGATGATCTCTGGACAGTCTCGAGATGATCTCTGGACTGTCTTGAGACGATCTCTGGACTGTCTCGAGACGATCTCTGGACTGTCTCAAGACGATCTCTCAACAGTCTCAAGATGATCTCTGGACAGTCTCGAGACTATCTCTGGACGATCTCTCGACAGTCTCGAGACGATCTCTTGACAGTCTCAAGATAATCTCTGGACAGTCGAGACGATCTCTGGAAAGTCTCGAGACGATCGCTGGACAGTCTCGAGATGATCTCTGGAAAGTCTCGAGACGATCGCTGGACAGTCTCGAGACGATCTCTCAAAAGTCTCGAGGTGATCTCTGGACAGTCTCTAGACGATCTCTGGACAGTCTCGAGACGATGTCTGGACAGTCTCGAGACGATCTCTCGACAGTCTCGAGACGATGTCTGGACAGTCTCGAGACGATCTCTCGACAGTCTCAAGATAATCTCTGAACAGTCGAGACGATCTCTGGAAAGTCTCGAGACGATCGCTGGACAGTCTCGAGATGATCTCTGGACAGTCTCGAGACGATCTCTCAAAAGTCTCGAGGTGATCTCTGGACAGTCTCTAGATGATCTCTCAAAAGTCTTGAGGTGATCTCTGGACAGTCTCGAGATGATCTCTGGACAGTCTCAAGACGATCTCTGGACAGTCTCGAGATGATCTCTGGACAGTCTCGAGACGATCTCTCAAAAGTCTCGAGATGATCTCTGGACAGTCTTGAGACAATCATGAGCTTCTCGTGTCGTTAGCGCCGTCTGATGGAACTCGTCTAAATGTTTGCGGCTGTGAAGAGACGTGTTTTCTCACGTCCTCATCTTCGTCTTTAGTCTTCGTGTCTTCTGCCTCCAGGACCCTGGAGGTCCCGGCCTGAACAACAAACCGATCAGTGTCTTCAGCATTTTCTTATTTTTCAATCTTCACACTCTGAAGGTTTGTCAGAAAACGGAGACCGACACCCTGAAATGTTTTTCTGCTCAGAGCCGGCGCCGAGACGGAAGCGTCAGATGTTCGACCACGAGAAGAACACGTGCTCCCTGCTGCTGGTGGCCGACCATCGTTTCTTCACTCACATGGGCCGAGGCGAGGAGAACACCACCCTCAACTACCTGGTGAGTCCGAACGCCCCCCTTCCTGCCCGCCGAGCCCTCCGGCCCGTTAACCGTCTCCGGTGCATGTTCCAGATCGAGCTGATCGACCGCGTGGACGACATCTACAGGAACACGTCGTGGGACGACGAGTTCAGCGGGTACGGGGTCCAGATCCAGCAGGTGAGGGGGTGATCAGACGGACCCTGGCGGGGGTCAGCAGGTGTCAGACTGACGTGTTTCTGCTGCAGATCCTCATAAAGAACCGACCCACTCCGGTTCCTCCTGGAGGAAGTCACTTCAACATGAGGGGGAGTCCCGTGGACGGGAAAGACGTGTGGGACGTGAAGAAGCTGCTGGAGGTAAAACCTGATCCAGAATACGTGTTGGATCAGAACCTGTTGTGTGTCTGAGGGAACAGTTTGTGTCTCTGGAACCGTGTGACCCGTCTTCGCTGAGCTGTCCGTGTCCTCCTGCAGCAGTTCAGCGTGGACATCGCAGAGAAGGCGTCCAACGTCTGCCTGGCTCACCTCTTCACCTACCAGGACTTCGATGAGGGCACTCTGGGTCTGGCCTACGTGGCGCCGGCCAAACCGGACTTTCCCGGAGGTCTCTGCTCCAAAGGTGGGTCGTGCCGCCGCCGCTAGGTCTCAGGTGGTCCCAGCCGGTCCCTGATCACTGCCGTCTTTGTCCTCACGAGTCCTCGGTTCTGATTGCAGCGTGTCCTTCGACTGCGAACAAACAGGGAGTCATTTATCTGAACACGGGCCTGACCAGCACCAAGAACTACGGGAAGACCATCCTGACCAAGGTGGGCGTCAGACTCTCAGACCGGGACTGAGGTTCTGATCCAAACCTGGTGTCTTCAGACCGCGTGACGTGTCCTCGTCTCCGCAGGAAGCCGACCTGGTGACGACCCACGAGCTCGGCCACAACTTCGGAGCGGAGCACGACCCGGACAACGTGATGTACTGCGCCCCGCGGGAGGACCATGGCGGCAAATACGTCATGTACCCCATCGCCGTGAGCGGAGACCACGTCAACAACAAGGTGACGACCAGAACCGGGATCTGGACCGGGCCGGACATCGATCCCACCGGTTCAGAACCTTCGGCAGCTTTGAAACGTGAAAACAAAACTGGAGAAACTGAAATACAGTCTGAACCCCGAACGACTGCCGACATGTCTTAACAACTATTAATATTTGATTAGTTAATTAATTAACGGTTCATTAACAGCTAAAGTTCAAACGAGCAACACAGAAGCTAAAATCAGAAAAACAGCTAAAATACTCTGGTCTCCTCCCAGAGATCTGTGACCTCAGTGAGACTTACCGGCTTAATTAACTCAAGTTCACTAAACCAAAGCTGAAATCTAAAATGAGCAAAAGAGTAGCCAAAAGCTAAATGTAGCTAAAACATAGCTAAATGTTGTCACAAACTAGCTAAAATAATGAAATAATAAAAAAATAGAAATAATGAAACCATAGCTAAAAGCTAAAGTTAACAAAAACATAGCTCTATGCTGAACTTTTCTAAACTAAAAGCTTAAGTTTGCAGCACTGCAACTAACAGCTAAAATTTGCCTGATCCTACCTAAAAGCTAACTTTAAAAAGATTGTAGCTAAAATATAAAATTTGGAAAACGGTAGCTAAACACTAAGGTTAGCAACATTGTTGCTAAAGGCTGAAATTAGCGGGAGAGTAATTTAAAGCTAAAAGTAGCTGAAGTTTTCAGAGAACAAAGTTCTGGAGAGAATTTAAAACATTCGTTTAATTTTATGGGAAATCTTTTGTAAAAAACATCAAACAACAAAAATGCTAAGATCCTTTAGGTCGTAGCTCACAGCCGAACATTTGGACGCAGGAGTCAGAACACGGACATCAGCTGAAGGCGGGCTGGTTTTGTGTCGCAGCTCTTCTCCACCTGCAGTAAGCGCTCCATCGTGAAGCGGCTGCGCTCCAAGGCGGCGTCCTGCTTCAGGGAGAGGAACGTGAACGTCTGCGGGAACTCGCGGGTGGAGCAGGGCGAGGAGTGCGACCCGGGTCTGCTGCAGATCAACTCGGACAAATGCTGCGCCGCGGACTGCAGGCTGAAGGCCGGGGCTCAGTGCAGGTCCGGTTCTGTTGGGCGGTTCTGGGTTCTGTTTGTTCTGCGTTCTGTTTCTAACCCTGACCGTCCGTGCTCAGCGACAGGAACAGCGCCTGCTGCAAGGACTGCAGCTTCCAGAGCAGAGGGGAGGTCTGCCAGGAGCCCATGGACGCCACCTGCAAGGGCCACTCCCACTGCACAGGTGAGCTCCGTCAGGTTCTGACCCGTTTGGTAGAAGTTCTGCTCGTTAAATGTGAGACTCGGAAAGAAACTCGTCTGGTCCAACTTCAACTGATGAAGACTCTGAACACATGGACGAAGATTTTTATTTGACCAGTTCAGCTCAGTTTGTGGCGTCCATTAAAGTCACCTGAGTTTTTAATGAGGAGCGCTGAAAGACTGCTGAACATCTACTGAATAACTGCTGAATGACTGCTGAAAGACTGCTGAAAGACTGCTGAAAGACTGCTGAAAGACTGCTGAAAGACTGCTGAATGACAGCTGAGTAACTGCTGAATGATTGCTGAATAACTGCTGAAAGACTGCTGAAAGACTGCTGAAAGACTGCTGAATGACAGCTGAGTAACTGCTGAATGACTGCTGAATAACTGCTGAAAGACTGCTGAAAGACTGCTGAATAACTGCTGAAAGACAGCTGAGTAACTGCTGACTGTCAATCATCAAACCATCTCAAACTCGATGTTTAATAAAAACGTTTGTTTTCCCTTCAGCCGGCGAAGAACAGACAGAAAGAGAAATGATGTTTGTTTGTTGTTTGTTTGTTTGTTGTTTGTTTGTGTGGACAGGAAACAGCAGCGAGTGTCCTCCTCCAGAGAACGCTCCAGATAAAACTGTGTGTTTGGACAACGGCGAGTGTCTGAAGGGGGAGTGCATCCCGTTCTGTCAGGCCGTCCTGAAGCTGGAGCCCTGCGCCTGCAACGGTACCACTCAGATCCAGAACCAGATCCTAAATCCTGAATCACAAAGTGCCGGGACCTCAGGTCTCACTTTGACAGAGTCCTTCTGTTTGGTCTGTGAGGGACCAGCCTGGACCTGTTGGACCTCTGAAGAGAACCCGTTTCTCCTCATCGTTGAACATTTTGTTGTTTTGTTGTAAACAACAAACAATAAATAGTTTGTACGACGACTGAAAACGGATCCTTACGTTGGTTCAGGTTTCTCAGGCTCCGGGTGAACAGAGACCAGGTTTAGTCTCGTTAGCTAATGAAAGCCCGTCTGGACTTTAAAAACCATAAACCAGTAAAACTTTTGGCGCTCAGTGACGGTTTTTAAAACTTTAAACATCAAGATGTGAGGAACTTTTCCTCCTGCTGGATTTTGATTTTAGGTTTTATTTTCCAGAAACGAACTCGTCCTGTAAGGTCTGTTGTCGGAACAGCTCCGGTGTCTGCGCCCCCTACCAGGACTCAACCGGAGACTTCCTGTACCTGCGGAAAGGCAAACCCTGCACCGTGGGCTTCTGTGACGGAGCGGTGAGAGGACTCTTCAGTTGGACTCTTGGACCCGATCAAGACCCAGTTCCTTCAACTTGACCCCCTCGTTTGTTTTGTGTTCTACCTGGTAGTTCTGTAGAGGTTTAGTCCATCTGGACCCCCTGGCGTCCCTGCTGAGGGGCTACGTGTCCTCAGGACCAAATCTTACAAGTTTTACTTTGGGTTCAGGGTCCAAACCAAACCTACTGGTTCCTCCACTTGGTCCCAGTCTTTTCTCCTGGTCCTCGTGGAACCAAGTTGTCAAGTCTTTCAAATGAGGACTGGGGTCAAATCCAGTCCTTTAGCCCCACCTCTGGACTCCACCCACCTCTGGACTCCACCCACCTGTTCTGCATTCTGCTCCACCTTCAGATGTGAGGCTAAAGAAGGAGAACCAGAACTGGACTAAGGTTCAGATCTCTGGCCCTGCCCCCAGGTTTCCACAGATCAGGGATTTGGGATTCTCAGGTGCCCACTAGAACCTAAAGCCTGAATGAAAAGGGTCATGATCTCCGCCCAGCAGAATAAAACCGTGAGGGTAGATGAAGGAAACGGGGTTGGGTCACGATGCTGTGAGTCAGCGGTTTAGCTCGTGTCTCCTCCGTGTCTGCAGGGGAAGTGCATGAAGCAGGTGCAGGACGTGGTGGAGCGTCTGTGGGACTTCATCGACAAACTTGACATCAACACGTTCAGGAAGTTCCTGGCTGACAACATCGTGGGCTCGGTGGTGGCGTTCTCCCTCCTCTTCTGGGTTCCTTTCAGCATCCTGGTCCACTGTGTGGTGAGAACGTCCTCACTGCGAGTTCTTCTCTCACGTCCTCATTAGATGAGGCTGTTCGGGTCTCTAGTTTTAGAAACATCTTTTGGAGACTGAAAGGTTTCTTTCTAAATGATTCAGCACTTTTTGTTGTTTCAGGACAAGAAGATGGACAGACAATATGAGCAGACCACCAAGTCTTTGTTCTTCCCTAGTGTGAGTAGAAATGTCCAAAGTGGATCCATAAAGTCGGTGAAAACCTCAAGTATCATGTTCTCAGGTTGAGCCTCCTCACAAAACAGTGGTCTGGACACAGAAACCAGTCCGTCATGGGTCGGACCACCTCACCACCTGGTTTTTATCTACATGTTTTGTTTGATGAACTGGATGAGGTCAGTTTGTTCTCTAGTAGTCTAAGTCTATAGCAGCATAACAAGCCGACCCCAACTATAGGATTTATCAAAAAGGAAAGTCTTAAACTGGACAATGTGTCAGCCTCATGACAGAAACTGGAAGTTGGTTCCACAAGAGAGGAGCCTGAGAACTGAAAGATCTGCCTCCCTTTCTGCTGCTGGAAACTCTAGGAACCACAAGTAAACCTGCAGTCTGAGAGTGAAGTGCTCTGTTAGGAAAATATGGAACAATAAGATCTGTAATATAAGATGGAGCTAGGTTGTTGAGGGCTTTGTAGGTTAGAAGTAAGATTTTGAATTCTATTCTGTATTTGACAGGGAGCCAATGGAGAGAAGCTAAAACTGGAGAGATATGACCTCTCCCAGTAACTCCAGTTAAGACTCTGGCAGCAGCATTTTAGATTGCTGTTGGGTATTATTCATAAAGGGGACCAAGTACTCAGCCTTGCGGTACTCCTGTCTTGTTTTTTTGCTTTTTTAAATAGCCCATTAACAGAACGTCCTCAGTGTGCTGTCAGACTTTTGGACCTTGTGTCAGAAAACGATCAACTTCAGATCAAGGAGCACATCAGGTTCTGGTCTGGTTTGTATCATCTTACAGGTCTCTCTTCGAAATGAGTCCACGTGAGTCAGAGTCAGAGGTTTTATTGTCATTCAGCTACGTACAAGTACATATTGAAAAGAAACATCGTTCCCCGGGATCACGGTGCAACACAGAACGTGCAAAACAAAACCACACAGTGCAGATACACAACAGATCAATAATCTGCATCATCTAACATATTCTAAACATTCTAATCTCAACATTCTAATCTAAACATTCTAATCTCAACATTCTAATCTCAACATTCTAATCCAAACATTCTAAT